TATGTCATCTTGCTTGGATCCATAGTTTCTTGGTACCAGCAGTTAGGAGATTGGGAGATGTATAAAGTCTCTAAAAGACCTGAAGGGTAATGATGTCACTTTAAAGACTAAGGTGGACCTGATTCAAGCCACAGTTCCAGTCATCTGCTATGCATCTAAGATCTTGACAGCGAATAAGGTTGGCTGGAGAAGAATTGATGCATTTGAGCTGTGGTGCTGGAGAAGAGGGCTATATCCAATGGGCTGCCAAAAGAACAAAAGATATTATCTTGGAGAAAGTATATCCAGTGTTATTTGGAGGCAGAAATATTTCGGACATGTTAAGAAAGACTATTCCTTGGAAAAGAACATCATCATGCTTGGAAAGACAGAGGGGTCAGCGAAGGAGAGGAAGATCCTCATTGAGATAAATCAGTACAGCGTCTGTGGGGGTGGACTCAAATGTGTTGAGGACCATAAGGATGCTGCAGGATGACACAGAATTCAGCTCTGTTATTCATAGGGTCACTAGGAGTTTTACTCAACTTGATGTCCTTTAACAGCAACAAGAACAAGATAGAAAGTTAATTAAGGATACAGTTTCCCAGCAGCATTAGGGCAGAAAGTCAAGAAGTGTTCCAAGGTGGTGTCATGTTGTAGTTTTGGCTGAACAGTGGTTACAGTGAGCAAGGGCTCTCAGTCAGAGCTTTCAATGTATGCTAGCGTGCTCAGGAAGGGACTCTGGGAAAAACAGGACATTCTCAGCATGGCCCGTGCTCAGTCCCTCCCTCCTCCTTTGCCCAAGCTTCTAAGTTACTGCCTCTTTGAAGTCTTTGATGCTTCTAACTTGAAGCAATTATCCCTTTCAGAACTCTCTTTATATGGTGTCTTGCCCTACCCTCATTTAACAAAAATTCATCATTGCCTTATATTATTCTCTAGATTTATATGGGATTTTTGATGGCCTAGTGATAAGAAGTTGCAGTGCAATCCCAAACGCAGGTGATTCGAATCCAGCAGCTGCTCTCCTTGAGAAGGATGAACAGTCTCCACCCATGCGATTTACTATCTCTGAAAACCCACTGGAGGGTTAGCTATGACTGCACACAATAACAACAACAACACATTTGTATCCTGGCGGGTAGCCTTACCCTCAGGGAGTTCTGGTGGCTCAGTTACATGCTGCGCTGCTGTGTAAAGGGTCAGCGGTTTGGAGCCCACCAGCCACTCTGCAGGAGAAAGAAAGGCCATTTTCTTCCATAAAGATTTATGGTCTTACAAAGCCAATAGAGTCACTATTAGTAGGAACTGACTGGTTTGCATGGCCCTGCCTTGTGCCAAAGAACCCTTGCCTGACTGACCTTTCTATACCCTCCTACGGAGCCTTGGTAGCACAATTGATAAGTAGGAATGTTTTTGATAAGAATCTACTGTTTAATCTGGGGCAAAATCTGTGACTGTCTACTTCCGTAAAGATTGCAGACTTCTCAGCAGGCGTTCTACTCTCTCCTGTCGTCACCATGAGTCAGAATCTGCTTGATCACAACAAATCCCTCACACTACTCAGTAATTTGTGTGGAGCCAGTGTTAGCTAACTAACTGACTTGGGCCTTATGGTTAAAACAAAGGAACAAGAGTAGGAAGGTATTTGGGCTGCTATCCTTGTTTATACTCAAAGCAGCCTTACTGTTACGAATTACAGAGCAAAAGAGGAGTGAGTTTTGGCTTGTTGACAATTAAAGTAGCTTTGACTGAAATAAAATGGACATAAGACTTTAATTACCTCAGTCACTAGTTACTTATTTTCAACCCCCTGGCCCCCTCCTCGACCTTTGCATACTCGGGTTCCCATCTCCATTCATCACCTGCTTCCCAGGACAGAGCAGGTCTAGAAATCATTCTCCTTTTCCTACCTTTTTGTTTTACTTGAAAGAAGAGGGGGAAGAGAAGACACCTTGAAGGAGGCACTCAGTCTGGTCTCCTGACTGTTATAATGATAAAGGTCAGATAAGATGGTCCAGTGGGTAGATAAAGATATTGAGAGGCTGTCTGCCATTTATAGCCAGCTTTCCTTTTCTTTCAGTTCATTCTTTTCAGGAAAACTTCAGCAGCATCCAATTCCTTTCCACTTTGTATGCTGTGACTCCGTAGACTCTTATTACACTTCCAGCTCTCTTTTTCCAACCTCCTACGTGCTTATCCTTTCTTAATTAGAAAGCCTTGTGAACTTTCATTGTCCTTCCCCGAAGAGAGGCCAGATGATACTTCCCCTGTTGTCTTTAGTTGTGGTGGAGGCAGCCCCTGACTCACTATGAGCCAACAATGTGGAATTTTCTAGGCTGAAATCTTTATGGAAGCAATTCACCAGATCTTTCCTCCCATGGAGCCAAAGAGGGGTTCAAAGTGCCAACCATTAGATTAGTGACCAGTGCAAACCACTTGTTCAACCCAGGCTCATCAATTACTGGTAAAGTTACAAATAAGCCTTTTCTATACCTGTCCTTGATGGCTAACTCTTCAAAGAGACGGGAATGCAATCCCTTTCTGTCTAAATGGAATGTGGTATAGGGAGATATTATGTCAAGTCAGTACCAACTCATGGCTGACCCTCTAGTGGGTTTTGAGAGATTTTAAATCACACGAGAGGAGACTGCATGTTTTTCTCCTTTGTAGTGGCTGGTAGATTTGAACCACCTACCTTTGAGTTGGCATCACATCTCCTCACCTACAAGGCCACCGAAGCTCCCTCATAGGGAGATGTTGTTTTGTTATGTGCTGGTGAGTTGGAACTGATTTGTAACTAACAGACCTGCTAGTGGGTTTTCAGAGGCAGTATATCAGATGAAAGGAGATTTTCTGTCTTTCTCCCATGGGGAAGCTGGTGGATTTGAATCTTGTGCTTATGGGTTGACAGTGCAACGCCTTACCAATAGGCTACCAGATAAGGCACTGCATATAAACCACACTGTGTGACTTTGGACAGGCCATTGTACCTCTCTGTGCTGGAGTTTCTTCATCTTTCACAGAATATGCCTCCTCATTGAGTCTTACAGATTGAAGCATTAAAAGCACTTCAACAGATGTAAGATATTGACAATGGTGGTGAAGTGCTGTGGAAAACACTGCCAGTGCCTTTATATTATCTTTCTATGTTTTGGTTGGAATTGTATATATAACATCAGTTCAGTTTAAAATTAGATCAGGGAATTAGGAACAGCAAATTAGAACAACAATGAGGCATCATCACTAAACACCTGTCAAAACAGCTAGAATAAAAATTAGTAACAATATCAAATGCTGGTAAGGATTTGGAGAAAGGGGATCACTCTTCCAATACTGACTGAAGTGTACTATTCTCTTTGACAGTTTCTTGTAAAACCAAACATGCAGTTACCATATGGCCCAGCAATTACATTCTTGGGCATTAATCCCAGAGAAATGGAAATTCATGTTTATTTGAAAAATCTGTACACTAATGTTTATTGGCAGATTTGTTCTTAACAGACAAAAGCAGAAAAAACTAATTTCCATCAATCAGTGAATAGACTATTAGGTAGACCATTTAGCCTTCATCCTGGGATACTAAATGTAAAAGAAAAACAAAATTAAACAAAAAAGCTAAACCTAGTATCATCAAGGCAATTCTGACTTGCAGAACGGCCTCATAGGGTTTCTGAGGTTGTAAATCTTTCTGGGACTAGACTGCCGCAACGCCTCTCCCGAGGAGCAACTAGTGCATTTGAGCTACCAGCCTTTTAGTTAGACATTTTATGTTTAGCCTGCTGCAAGACCAGGGCCCTATGTTGGATTACTACTTAGCAGTAAGAGCAACAACATGTTGATGCAACTACTGGATAAACATCTAGGGAGTTGAGCCATTTCCCAAAGGTCACTCTGTAAGTACATTCAAATAGTATCCTTGAAATGACAAGAATGAAAGAAATCGAGAATCGATCCTTTGTTGCTAAGGTCGGGAATGAGGAGATGGGGATGGAGGAGATTGGAGAGACCTTAGTGTGGTTGCAAGAGTAACTCCCGAGCCGCTTGTGGTGATGGACAGTGTAGCATGAGAATGGTGGGAGTGGACATAGGAGGCTTCACATATCAATAAGATGTTGTAGACTAAATACACAAGCAAACACCGACATCCACAATTGAGCATACAATTAAAATACAACTAAAACAAGGAATCTGAACAATATATTATCATTGCCAATGCCCTGGTTGAAACTGTGCTATCATTTTATAAAATATGACTGTAGACGGTCCCTGAGAACTTCCTGTACTTTTGTTACAAATGCATCTGTCTACAGTGATCTAAAAATAGAGAATTTAATAAAAAATAGTAAGTAAGTGACAGGGTTCGGAGCCAGGATGGGGTGGTTTCATCTCATCAGTGTTCTGGTTAATTGAAATTTGTTCTAGTTAATGAAAATTGTGAAACAGTGTATTCCATTGTTTTGATATTTTGCTCAGTGATCATGGTGCCTGCAGAGCAGGAGGGCTGAGTGTCCTAAAAAGTCCCCTGCAGCTAGAATTGGCAGAAGGGATGTATTTGAGTGGACTTGCTTCTTAAGATTTGATCATGTCTCTCTCAAATTCAGGGAGGAAAATAACATCACGGTCTTCTTCAGAACAAGGGTAGAGAATAAATGGGTTAGGCTTCTAGTGTGGCCATAACCTGGCACGTAATCAAATCTGGACACAGTCTCTATGGTGCAACGTTGACTTTGACCTTGGGATTCTGCTGAGGTCAATGGAATGAGTCCACCTGTACCACCATTGGCAGACACGCGGAAGACAGCCCAGGGTAGCCAGAGTATTGGCAGACTGCTTCTCTGGAGACATCAGCCTGAAGCTGATGTCAGATGAAGATGACTTCATGGCAAGGTGATAGACTATGCCCAAGAACCTCAGTCCTGGCTGTTGGACTTTTTAAAGATGATTTTCTTTCTAGAGAGTGTATACGTCAATGGCAAAGTCAGGAGACCTTGTTCCATGACTGTTCTTTCTTTCTGAAGTTGTAGGACAGTCTCATCTGGACAGCAGCATTGAGGATCAAGAGATCGTCACCAATCCACCAGACATTTGCCAAGTTGTGGAAGTGACCACTGAGAGTGATGAGCAGCCAGTCAGTATGAGCGACCTCTACCCTCTGCAGATATCCCCTGTGTCTTCCTACGCAGGTAAGTCTGGGGGAGGGCGACCTCTGAACCAAGGCTTGTGGGTGTAAAGCCGCCGTCCTCAACAAAAAGCAGGGAACCTCTCCTCTGCCCTAGGGGTGGTTATTATTATTATTTTTTTAATAGAAGAAATAATTTGTTCGATAAATTCTTGGATTAGTATAATTATAAAATTCTTTCAGTTTATATAGCAGAAGACAAAACATATTTATTCTGATTTTTCTCTTTAGAAACTTGCACTGTGATCTGAATTTTTGGAGCAAATTGGTTTTTATTCAATTTGCTGGAAGAAGAAAAATTCATACTCATTTTTCTTGATGATAATGATTACAAATCTCCAGAGTGTAACAGCACTCACCTCTCTTCCTCCTTGTGATTACTGTCTCCATTTCTCTCCTATCTCCAGGGGTTATTCTTGAGGGAATTAAACGGGCTTAGTTTTCTGGACCATCGTCTTGTTGAACACTTGTGCTTGATCACAGTGCTGCTTGATCACATAGCACTTCCCTACGTGATTAAAAAATGAGACGATTTCCTTGGGGAAGCAGTTTATTTAATTTTCACTGCAAGTTTGGCCGAATTCCTGCAGAATGTTTTAATGGTATTTGCCCAAGCTAGTTAGGCATTTACAGATCATCTCTTCTAAGTAATCACTTTTAGGAATGTTTTGTGCAAACTTACACAGTATTTGGGCTAACACTTGAACTTAGTCTTCAGATCCCATGCTCCTTGATAGCTCTATCTAATTACACTGTATTTATGCATAACAGTCATCTGTTTCCTCCTCTCTTTTTTAAATGATTAGTGCAACTTCTTAATCAGACTAACAGTCTGAATCCATTTCTGTTTCCTCAGGGAATATAGTTACACCAGTTGTCCCAGACACTGTCAGAGGATTCAAAAGATTCATCTGTTTATTCCATCCCTATAGAATAAAGTAAAAGGCGCATTGCCATGGGAAAGTCTGCTGTTAGGGACCTCTCCAAAGTACTGAAGAGCAATGGTGTCTCTTTGGAGACTAAGGTGCGTCTGATACAGGCCATGGTCTTTGCAATCACTTGTTATGCATCAGAAAGTTGGACAATGACCAAGGAGGACAGAAGGAGAATTGATGCCTTTGAGCTGTGGTGCTGGAGAAGAGTATTGAGAATACCATGGACTGCTAGGAAAACAAACAGATTCGTCCTGGAAAGGGTTAAACCAGCTGGCTATTTGGAGGCAAGGATTCTGAGGCTCCATCTAACATACTTTGGACATATTGTAAGAAGAGACCGGTCCTTGGAGAAGGACATCATGCTTGGGAGGGTGGAGGGATGGCGCAAGAGGGGAAGGCCCTCTATGAGGTGGATTGATTCAGTGACTGGGGTAATCGGGGTGGGTGTGTCAGAGACAGTGCGATTGGCACAGGACAGAGCAGAGTTTCAGGCTGTTGTACATAGCGACTCGATGGCAAACAACAACAACAACATAGAATAAAGTGGTGGCTTCTTTTCTCCATCAGCATCCCAACATCTTACACCTTCCCTGATGCTCTCCATTTAATTTGGGCAACTCTTTCATAATTAAAAGAAAGAAAAATAATCAAACCTACTGGTGAATCAGACTTCTAGCAATTGACAATCAGGCTTCTGAGCCTCCAAGTCTAATGAGAACAGACTGACCATCTTTTTCCCAAGGAGTATCTGCAAAATTCAAACCCCTAGTTTTTAAGTTGGCAGAGCAGTACAAACCTCACTGCTCTATTAGGGCCACTTTTATGATTATAGAGACCCACTCCTGTTGAATTGTTTCCATCCCAGGGCTGCAATTATTTAAGGGAGGTCATTGCCTGTTTTTATCCCAGAACAGCTGATGGATTCGAATCACTGACCTTTCAGTTAGCATTGCAACAAATAATGTCTTAAGCCATCAGAGCTCCTTGGAAATACAAATACTAAGTCTGTGTTACTGCTTTCAAATAAAAAAAAAATCAGAGGCCCTATCATGGGTAAATATAGTTGGGAGTCTCTGAATTCTGCAAATGGTTTATGCTCTCAGTGACTGAAAGGTCGGAAATCCAAGTCCACCCAGAGACATTTCTGAAGAAAAATCTAATGATAATCTTACAAAAAATCAGCAACAGAAAACCCTATGAATATATGTGTTCATATGTGTGTATATATACTTGTATTTGTTTATATGTGTATGCATACATATATATACTTATATGTGATAAAGCACATAGAGGGCAAAGTTATGGGTTCTTCTTAGATATAATAAAACACCTCACAGGATTGGAGCCTTGGGACTTGTGGGCTATTGTCTTGTGGAACAACTTGATTAACAGGGGGAATGTAGTTCATAAAGTTAATGCTTACATGTTAGTTTGGTGAGTAGCATCTGGGCTTTTAAAAGCTTACAAGAGACCATCTAAAATAGAACTATTGGTCTTTTCTGCTCCAGAGAAAAAGAGAAAGCCAGAAAGGCTCGGGTGGTGGGGGGCGGGGGAAAGCTAGTAGTCTGCATTAACCAAAGTCTCGATCATTCTCGTTAGGGTCGCAACTGAGGAATCCTGATAGGAAAATGTAGTACAAAACTCAAATTCTCGAAAAGTCCAAATTAACTCAACCTGTTGAGCCTAGAGAACTCCTGAGGCCATTGCTCTGAAGCACTCCATAAACTTGGAAGAAAACTTCCCCAAAGTCACCTCAGATTGACTGATAAAATGAAGAATGACTACCACATACCTTTTAAAAAGAAAAAAAAATCATCTATATGGACGGACCTAGTTAACAGTTACTCTAAAGCAAAGATGATACATATTTTCCTCACTTTCCCAGTTCACTTTCCAGTTGTCAGTTGACATACCATACTCATCCTTTCTGTAAACTTTCACTAAAATAAAAATTTAAAACGTTTTAAAAAAATAAGCAAAGATTAAGGGATAAAGGGATGAGAAGATTACTAGAAATGAAACATCCAGAATGGAATTAATGAAAATGTTAGTATTTTGTGTAAACAAAACCTTGCACCCAGTGTCACTGAACAGTTTGTGTGGTGATTATTGAATGAGTACCTGATGGGCTCTATAAACGTTCACTGAAAACACAATGAAATATTGGAAAAAAGAAAGAGATCTGTGTGTTCGCTCAACTCTGGCGCACATGGAGTTGCCACTGGTTGTCATCAGCGTGGCAGCAACTACAGTCGACTGTGTGTGAACAGCTCAGGGATCCGTCCCAGGTGCTCCTTTGCTGCCAAATAGAAATGGAGTGTCATCCAGTTCAAGCGGCACCTCCGTAACTGGCAGAAAATCAGCATTGGAATTAGATTGACTCAAGTGACTGGTTGTTTATGAATCATCAACCACTAAACCAACCTAGTATTTCCTGAACCCCAACTTTCTTCTGTGTTAGGAATGTAAAAGTAAAGTGAGAACAAACTTTGAGTATAAGAAGTCAATAATCTGTCACAGAAATAAATTCCTTCATCGACCATACTTTGAACTCTTTGTGCTAGGTCTTCTGGTGGCCAGTAATAACTGGAGTGTGTTGCATGCTTCCTGGCCCTGGAAACTGGGCTTTATAGTGATTATCTTGTTTCATTTTCATGAGACTAACCTTGCCACCTCAGGTACCTTTACTATCTTTTAAAACGGAGGATGTCAAAAGAAAGCGGTGTGTTGAGGGACAGGTGGCTGGTAACACAGACCCCATTTGTAGCTGCTGCCGGAGTCCCCTGCCCCAGCCCTCTGCTGTCACGCTGCCTGGAGAACTGCACCAGACTTGCCACTCAGCACACTTCCTCACGCGTAGCCTCATTTGGTTTTCACAAAACCCCACCAAAGATGACAGAGCAGAATGTTTATGCCTTAATTTTACAGTTGGGGTAACTGAAGCCTGAAACACTAAGCCACTTTGCCTGTGTTTACATAGCCATGACTGAAAATTTGTGAGGCTTCTGTATCATGCTGTTCTGTCATCTTGGGGATTTTGGAAGGACCCCTTCTTGCTGCCCTGCCTGCAGTAGCATTTTCCTGAGAACAACCAATCCATGTTGGGAGAAATGGAAATTTCTCTACTATTTTCAGGACGTTTGTATAGATTTGAAAAGAAGGATTTTAAAGCTGAGATGGGGGGAGGTGGCAGCAGGAGGTTTTTGGGAAGCTGGCTTTCCAGCCTGATCATTTGAGTTTTTTCTGTTGTTTTTGTTGTTCGAGTTCACCAAAACTTTTTGAAGGATACGTATTTAATGGAGCCAAAATATTTCACCAGCACTGCTTTTCTAGAGCTTATAAACAAGAATTTTCAACTGTTCTTACATCCCTGTGAACTGTTTCAAATTTTCATTCTCATCCAAGAATAGAAAATAAATTTGAAATTTGCAAGACCCAAAGGTGATTGTTATGTTGATCATGTGTTCAGTGAGTACCAGTACCTGTGTACATAAGAGTACAGAAGATTCACTGTGGAGATCCAGTTAAAACACTGAATCTGATCCAGTGACTCAGAGGTGTAAATTCTCAGCAAACAGTCGAGCTGGAACAAACCACTTGGAAACCCTGGTTATAAACTATCATGGACTGAATTGTGCTCTTTCAAAATACATATATGTATTTACATAATGTAGAAACTAGTTCATGATTTCCCCCATAATCTGATAAACCAAAGCTCATAATTCATTGTCATGAGATTGGAACCAAGTATTTCATCAACTCATAGCTGATCCCTTAGCAGGTTTTCTGAGGCTGTAAATCACATGAGAGTAGATTGCTCATCTTTTTCCCGAGGAACCACTGATGGATTCAAATGCAAGAGAGGCATCACTTTTGGATTAGCAGCACAGCTTCCTGTAAATTATAAAACCCTTTGATAAGCCAATAATTGTAAGGGTAGACTACACCACCCCTCGGGAGCCCTGCAGTATGAAGCAAAAATACAGATGCCCAAGCTGCAAAGTAATGAACAATATGCTTATCATTCCTCCAGTAGAGCAAACTGACAGACAAGTCTCAGAGTTCGGGA